CGTCGTCCTCGTCGTGGTCGGTCCCCTGTCCGTCCCTCTGGGGGTCGGGTCGACGGTCCGCGGCCGCCCCGCCGATCAGCGCTGCCGCTGCCCAGGCCGACGGTCCGTGGCCGCCCCGCCGCTTGCCGGGGCCCGGCCTGCAGGGAAGAAAGGTATACCCCCCAAAAGGAGTTCGATCGAAGACGGAGAGGGTGGGTATCGAGGGTTTGGGAAATACGCGTTATTGGACACTCGAGCAGATAAGGGCGAACAGTCTTAAAATGATGATTGTTGTTGTTGTTGCTGTTGCTGTTGTTGTTGTTGTTGCTGCTGCTGCTGCTGCTGTTGTTGTTGTTGTTGTTGTTGTTGGTGATGTTGTTGTTGGTGATGTTGTTGTTGGTGTTGTTGTTGTTGTTGTCGTTATTCCTCCTTATCCTTCTCTTCTCCTTCCTCCTCCCCTCCTCCTTCTCCTCCTCCTCCTCCGCTTCCTCCTCCTCGTCCTCCTCCTCCCTCCGCGCCGGAGCGCTCGTTGGGGGGAGTCAGGTTGCACACCGAGCAACTGAAGGAGGTGCAGGATGGGGGCTTTGGCAAGGCACAGTTCATCTTGGACAAGCCGGGGAGAATTCAGGACGTGTACGACATGGAGTCCAAGAAGCTTGGCGAGGGATCGTATGGGTCCGTAAGCAAAGGTGTCCACAAGTCGACCGCCGTCGTCCGTGCCGTGAAGACCATCGCGAAGACCAAGGTCAAGCACATCGAGCGTTTCAAGAAAGAGATCGCCATCATGAAGATCATGGACCATCCGAACATAATCAAGCTGTTTGAGACGTTCGAGGACCATCACAACATCTACCTCGCCATGGAGCTATGCTCCGGAGGCGAGCTTTTCGATCGCATAGTCGAGGCGAGCCACTTCAGGGAGAAGGAAGCGGCGATCATTATGCAGCAGATCTTGAGAGCGATCTTTTATCTTCACGAGCAGCGTATCTGTCACAGGGACCTGAAGCCAGAGAATCCAGCGGCGCTCGGCCCATCCCGCCAGGGTGTCAGGGTTGCGACTTAAGGGCGCGTTGGAAGGATCGATGGCCACACCGTGTTTCAGGTCACGTTCAGGGAAGAGCGTCTTGGGTACCTTTTTAGGAGCCTTTGGAGAAACCATTAAGGCACATTGGCAATGTGGCAGTATCAAGAACGGTTGGCAGCCATGCTCCCGGGTCATTCGCGGACATTCGGGCCCATTTTGGGACCATTTTGGAAAGATTTGTGGCCCCTCATTGTGGCCTCGCTGGCCGTCGTTGGGCAATCTGTGCGAATTCTTGGGCCATGCCCGAGGTTCGGAGACCAGAAAGGCGAGAATGTGGCTTGGACATGACAGAGGTACATGTCTACATGTAGATACACATGCATGTACCTATACGACCACCCTGCGGGTGATAAGGAGGTTGTGGGGGGGAGGGGCAGGGGGGGACCAACATCTGACTCAATCGATCTCACTATCGATCTCACTCAACAGGACACCGCTGAACACCATGGGACACCACGGGACTTTTGTCGATCTCACTATCGATCTCATTATCGACCTCACTATCGATCTCACTCAACGGGACACCACGGGACACCACGGGCCACCGCGGGACACCACGGGACACCGCGGGACACTTCTTGTTCTCATTATCGGTCTCACAATCGATCTCACTATAGATCTCACTCAACGGGACACCACAGGACACCACGGGACACCTCGCTCGGGGCACCACATCGATCTCAGTATCGATCTCACTATCGATCTCACTCAACGGGACACCACGGGACACCTGTCGATCTCACTATCGATTCCACTTTTTGGGACACCACGGGACATTTCGGGGCACCACTTCGATCTCAGTATCGATCTCACTATCGATCTCGCTCAACGGGACACCACGGGACACTTGTTGATCTCACTATCGATCTCACTATCGATCTCAAGTTTTCTGGGACACCTCGGGGCACCACATCGATCTCAGTATCGATCTCACTATCGATCTCACTCAACGGGACACCAGTGGACACCACGGGACACCGCGGGACAACGCGAGCCACCGCCGGACGGACGGACGGGCGGGCGGGGGAGAATAATTTGTCTTGATTTCGCCCTGGCAACGGCGGACACCGCGGGACACCGCGGGACATTGGTAGACCACTGCTGGACGGACGGACGGACGGACGGACGGGGGAGCAACATTTGTCTTGATTTCGCCCTAGCAATGGCGGGTTCATTCCTCTCGCGCGCCCACGCAGTTTCGCCTCGCCCGCACGCACGACACGAACGAAACGAAACGAGTTCCCGGTTGGGGGTTTCCGTCCCATTGCGATCTCACTCCCCAATCTCTGATATGTCCGTGTGTATGGATCGCACATATGATACATATGTACAGGTGTGTATATCTACAGCAGAGTTTACCAGCTCTCTACGCTTCGCCGTTCTATAATACTGGTCGCATGGCGCCCGTGAGGAGCGCTGCAACCGTCATTGCCGTAAATGGGTGATGAGGGGAGGGGAAGCGATAGCTATTAGCCCCCCAAGCCTCCAAGTTCGTAGGGCTCACCCGTGGTACCATGCTACAGTCGGGACGTTGAAGAAGGAACCTTTTCTTTGGGGAGGGGCTCGGTGTTCCTTAGTTGTGTCACAGCTTGCCTTAGGATGTCCTTCGGTTTTCGATTGGGGAGTCGAAGTTTACCTTGTCGGAAAAAGGGAGACTCGTTCCTTATTTGAGGCTCCTTAGGTCAACGCCCCGACGCTAATGGCGTTGAGCCTCTATGTCTCACAACGCGGGCTCAGAGGGCTCGGCGGGCCCAGTGTTGATGAGGCGACGCGGTCCCGAAGGCTTGTACAGTCGGGGCGCTGAAGAAGGAACCCCTCGCTGGGGAGGGGCTCGGTGTTCCTTGATTGTTGTGCAATTTGCCGTAGGTTTCCCTAAGGTTTTCCGTGGGACATCGAAGTTTTGTGTGTTTGAGGGGAAAAGGGGCTTCGCTCCTTATTCAGGGTTCCTTAGGTCAACGCCCCAACTGTAGAGGTGACGGGCGCCACAGGTCTCGCAGGTTTCCCGAAGGCTCAGGTGCCCGCAAGATCTGTGCTGTCCGTGGGGGTCACAGGTCCAATGGAGTCAGGGCGGCCTTCGGGGCTCATCGGCTTCTTAAGGTCTGGCGCATATGGGATGGGCGCCATCTGGCTGCGTGTCGCACAGCCTGTATGTCATAGGCTCATGGGGCTCATGGCGCCGCCATTGTGGGTTTTCTTGGCGTGGGCAAAGCTCATGGGGCTCACTCTGCTCATGTGGCTCATCGGGCCCATGGGGCTATCGCGGCTGATTTGGGCTCATAGGGCTCACGATACCCGTCAGCCGCATGTGTATGTAAAGAGCAAGAGACTGTGTGCGCTTACAGGGCTCATTTGGATCATAGAACTCACACTGTGCTTGCGGCTCACAGGGCTCATACAGTTCATTGGAGTCACTGATGTCATGGGGCACATAAGCTCTCTGTGTTCGTAGGGTTCATGTGGGGTTCCTTGGAGAGCTCTGGGGTCGCCTTGGAAACCTCTAGGGCTGTCTTACGGTGCGTTTGGACATGTTTGGAGCCCGTCCAGGGTTGTGTCAGGCCGTTTGGCGTTGGTCTGGGAGAGGTTTTTGGGGCGTACGGAGCAGTTGGAAGTCGAAAAGGCAGCAACGCTTCATTATGTCAACATCGACATGGAGATCCATACGTACATGCCGTCTGCAAGACCGCGGCAGGTCTTCGCAAGACGTGATTGATATCAGGGACCGGGCCATCCACGGACGATTTCATTCATCAGGGATCGTGCCCCTCCTCACACCGCCTCAAATTCCAGCGCCGCCTGCCCTCCGGCGGGGCTGCGCGGGACCGCGGCAGGCATGGCATACGCAGGCCGTGTGGTTTACTTGGGATCGTTCCCTTCCCCCCTCCTCCTCCTCCTCCTCCTCCTCCTCCTCCTCTTCCGCTTGTCGGCGAGCGTGCCCTTCCCGCTCCACCAGTCCCAACGGTGCCGTCGGCCCCATCCAGGGAGGTCGCGCAAGACCGCGGCGGGCATGCCCACACCGTGCTCTGCGTCGGTGGCCGCGCGCCCTGTCGCACCGGGCGGCCCCAGATCCCACCGGTGCCGCCTGCCCCTCCGGGGAGGCCGCCCGTGGCTTCCAGGGTGCGTGCCCTTCCCACGCCACCAGGCCCACTCAGTGGCGTGGGTGTGGGAGCGGAGGGGGAGGAAGCGTGATGGAGAATCAGGGCACCGGGAGGGAGGGAGGAAGTGCAGTATGATGATGATGAGGAGGAAACAGAAAAGAGGAGGAGGAGGAGGAGAAGGAGGAGGCAGAGACTCGGCTATGGGAAGACAGCAGTTTGCCTGAATGGGAGAAGTCTTGGGCCATTGGGGTCCCTTGGGGGACTTCTCAGAAGTGCTCACGGGCGCATTTGTGGTGCCTTCTGGGGGCCGCTTGGGAGCCGCAGGCTGCCGCAGGGGGCCTCTTGGGCAAATCTCGGGGGGCCTCTGGGGGGTCTCTTGGGGGTCTCGGCGGTCTCGTGGGCAGTCAATGCTTGGAGGACGGTCTCGCAATGTCAGTCCGGGTTCTGCCTCCTAGGGCCCTCTTGGACGGTCTTGCGGGGCCCCTGGGATCGCCCCGGGGTCCTCTTGGGCTGTCCAGGGGCCCTTTTGGGAGCCTCTGGGGAGCGGCCCAGATCGTAGGTTTTTCGCAGTGGTCGGCGATTGTCTAGGCCTCCCAGATGGATCCGAGTAGAGGGGGTCTCACCGTCGGACCGAGCTATAAGATCGAGGTCGGCTAGGGGAGGGTACCCTCGTTTTCTTTGTGTCTGTTGGATATTGTTGTGCATCCTGGGTGAGATACCCCTGGATGTCCTGTGTGTTTTGGCCGACGGAGGATCTCATGCTCTTGAGGTCTTGAGGGATGCTCTTCTGGCCTGGGTCCGACTGTACCGCAGCCCTTCAGAATCCTTAAGTTGTTTTGGGCACGCCAGTGTCAATGGCCACCAACGGTTAGAGGACAGCCATTATTACTCCGTGACAGTGGCACGGTGGCGGCTTTTCTTTTTCAGAGTAAGGATCCGATCGAAGGCAACGTCTTAAAGCTGATAGATTTCGGGCTCTCGGCCAAGTTCAAGGATGGCGAGCCCATGTCCAGTAGGGCAGGGACTCCGTATTACGTGTCACCGCAGGTGTTGGCCGGCAAGTACAATCATCTCTGCGATCTATGGTCGGCGGGCGTGATCATGTACATTCTGCTCTGCGGGACACCGCCGTTCTTTGGCAATAACGATCAGGAGGTGCTTGCCAAGGTCAAGTACGGCAACCTCACCTTTAACCCGCGTGAGTGGTCTGGCGTTTCCCAGGACGCCAAGGACCTTGTCCGCATGCTTGTGAAGATGAACCCAAGCGAGCGTCTGAACGCAGAGCAGGCTTTGAACCATTCTTGGATCAAGAATCGCGCTCCTCGGGCCACGAACGCACCGTTGCCCACCAATTTCGTCCCCAGGCTGCGAAAGTTCCGGTGCCGTAGTAAGTTCTCCAAGGCAGTGTTGCACGTGATCGCCTCCCAGTTGAACGAGTTCCAAATCAAGAGCCTTCGTGAGACGTTCCTGGCGTTGGACAACAACGGGGACGGACTGCTGAGCCTGACAGAATTGAAGGAAGGACTCTCCCAAGCAGGCATCACGGATCTGCCCGAGGACTTGAAGGAGATCATGGAAGGGATCGATTCAGACGGCAGTGGTGTGATCGATTACACTGAGTTTTTAGCCGCTACCATCGAGAAGAGGCAGTACATCCAGGAGGACGTCTGTTGGACCGCTTTTCGGGTCTTCGACCTGAATGGAGATGGAAAGATCACCCCGAACGAGATGAGGATGGTTTTGAACAACGGCAACGTAAATAGTTTGGTAGATGTCCAGGCAACCGCTGATGTGTTGAAGGAAGTGGACAAGAACGGCGACGGCGCTATTGACTTCAAGGAGTTCATGACCATGATGCGGAACATGTCCAAAAGTATGAGTATGGATGCCATTCCATGAGCAGATCTTAACTTCGCGTCTGACGCGCACATCCGCCAATTTATATGCGGACGTTGCGCAGCAACATTGCAGCGTTGTAATGCCGTGACGTTGCTCGGTTGTCGCGGTGGATCGTGTTAGAGTTTTCTGTGTACATTTGGGATTTCCTGGGTGACCCTCGGGGTCCCACGGGGTTGCCTCGTTGGAGGCCAGAGTCCTCAGGCCTTCCAACTGTGCCTGGGCTCGTTGGGTCTTGGGGCCGTCCTCGGGAGGCGGTCTTGTGGCCGTCTTTGGCAGCCCTGGACCGTGTGGAAGTTTTCCATGGGTGCCACTCACGTCGTTGGTGCGTTGTCCAGAAGGGCTCGAAGGCCGTGTAGAGGCTAGAGCGGTTTTGAGATGTCAGGGTGGCTTGACGAATGCATTCGCGATACGCGATTTCCTATAAAGTTGCCGCCTTTCCAAATGGCCCGCCAGAAGGCTCTCGTGGGCCTCTTCGGGGCATCAGGTAGCCTCCTGAACGCGTGCCCTAGACTTTGTCCGAATCGGTTTCGGCATTGTATCGCGAGGACTGGTCGTTCTTTTGCAGCGACCACAAGACATCGAACGCCGCAAGAGGAGGCTGGCTGACAGACACGGACGCATAGGGAGTGTGGTGGCGGATCTCTACGCGTCGCAGTCATCCCTTGTTGTGCGATCGCCTGTGTTTGGACGAGCATAGGAAATATCTTGTGCGGTGTGTGTGTGTACATACAGCGTTGATGCGAAAGTCGTCCTCCGGACCCGAGAGCTGCTGGATTCCTTTAATTCCTTTGCGTTGCCAGACGTTCCGTCTGCGATCAGGTCGTCTAGGCGTCGCCCACACGAGGCGCGCAACCGACCACTGTTTCGGGCGCTAGCGAAGACTAGTTGTGCATGAAGGAGTACATGCATCTTCTCGTTATGCCGTCCTCTGTTTCCTTCTTCTTATTATTCTTCTTCTTCTCGTCCTCTCCCTCCCCCCGCATGGAGGGCGACATCGGTTCTCCCACTCGTCCTTTGCCCTCTCCCCCTCACTCGGGGGCGGGCAATCTCTCCTCCGTTACTGCCTCTTCACTCATTTCCCCATCTCTTCCCTGCTTTGCCGAGGCCCGATATTGACCAGTTATGGGCAGCGCCGTGATCTCCCTTCCGCACAATTGTGTTCACCGATTAGGTTTGCAGAGAGGGCTCTTACCGTTCATATTGACCAGCCTCGGGCTCATCCCTATCCCTGAGACTCGATCTTAGGGATACGCTCCCAGAAGCTGCGGGAACCTTCAAGCTCTGCACCGAGATAAGCTGATGCCAATTGAAGAGTGAAGGGATACGGGCTCTGTGTCAGGGTTGTAATGTTCATGGGCCAGGCAGAGACAACCATAACCGCTGGGCTGATGGAATCGCCCCGGGCGCCCCTCCAAGGCCGGTCCCGATCCCCCAAGCAGTGATGACTTGCGCTACCTCTTGGCCGCTCCTGGAATATGCCAGCAGCTACCTCACTGCAGGTGCCCTGGGCTGGGCCCCTCCCCTCTTGCCTCGCGTGCTCGTCGGCCTTTTGTGCGTGCCCACTCGCTGCCAGAGCACACTGGGCCGCTGGCCTTACTGCAGGCGGGCTCGCCCCGAGCGTGCCATCTGAGCTCCTTGTGCACGTCGCGTTGCCAGCGTCCCAGATCGACGATCTGACGTATTCATTCCCGGCATTTTTCTTGTATGTCGGCCTCCAGTGCCCGTTATCTTGCCCAGGACCACCAACACTGGATCTGGATCTGTGGCGTAAGACTACCACTTGGGAAGGGGTCGGGAGCTCTGGGGCCACGGATAGGGAAAATCAGATCAGCAGATGTCCCAGGGCAGGGACAGGAACCAGAGGTTGTCCCTCAGGAAGTTCGTTCAGAGTGTGCCGGGTTGCTTCTGGCGCACTTTGCGTTGCCAGTGCTGTTGCCAGGTGGTTCCTTTCGCGCGAGCCCACTTACACACACCAGGCATCGCATTGCCAGTTCGGCATGCCGGCGTTGCTGCCAGCGCTGTTGTAAAGGAACACAAGCGTTCAGGATCGTTCCTGGCGCACATCGCGTTGCCACGAAGTCAGCCGGCAGTTCTGTGTGAGCGTGCCAGCGTGCTCGTGCTGCTCGCGCTAGTTTGTCAAACAGATGCTATGGCTTTTGAAGCAAATCCTAGCTCTGGTAGAATTCACTGGGGGTACTCCCAAGTCGCGCGACACGCCCCGACAGTCACGCGGTGAGCTCCAAGAAGTCTCTTTCTGGGGACGGCTAGTCGAGCGACTACGACACTCAACACAGAGCATACGAATGGCATACGAATGGACCTGTGTGTTATTCTACAGGGATTCGCGTTTCGATGGCGGGAGCAGTGCCGTTGGCCATAGCACGTGTCAAGCCATGCATGGGACTTACACTATATGTGCGTCGCCCCCCCAGGGCCGACGCGCGCACCGAGAAGTCTTACAGTATATGCGTCGTGGCGGGCGCTTTCTGGCCACACCGCTCAGGAAACGATGTACTACAATCTGGTGATACTGTATGTTCGGGTCGGACGCTCGCCTCCAAGGATTACATATAGTATTAGTATGTCTCTGTGCGTCCCAAGGGGCTCCCCTTATCCCTCTACTCCTCCCTCGTCTCCGTCATTGTCGTCGCCCACCTTCTCTCTATCTGAAGGGCTGCGCCCTCTGCAGCCAGCCCCGCAGGGCTAAGCCATCTTGCGGATCCCCTGGGCGCGTCAAGTCTGGGCGTTGCGATCGCCCATTCCCCAACATTCCACCTCCTCCTTTTCCTCCTCACCTCGTCGCCTTTCCCCTCTCCCTCCCCCTCCGCCTCGATTCCTTTTTTTCTTCCTCTGCCGCTTCCACCTCATATTCTTCTTTCTCTTCCTCTCCCTTTTCGTTATGCACCTCCTCTTTCTTATCCTCCTGAACATCTCTTAGAGGCTCTTGTGTCCCTGTTAGGTTATCTTGGGGCCTTCTTGTGCCATCGTGGGCTGTTTTGGGCCCCTGCTGACCGTCTTGTTTTTTGTTGTTTGGACCCTCTTGGGGCTCTCTTGGGCTGTCTTGGAACACTCTTTTTGCAATTTTGGGACCCTCTGGGGGTTCTCTTGTGGGCCGTCTCGGGGCCATGTTGGAGGCATCATGGGCTGTCTTGGGCCTTCGGGATTCATAAGCAGTTCAACAATTTTGGACTCTGGATTTTGTTGGAAATACAATGGGCTTGGAGTCTGCAGGCCCTCTTGAGGGTCCTCTTGGGGCCCTCTTGTGGCGTCGTGGGCGCCTCTTTGCCTGTCTTGAGGCTCTCTTCGGGCGCCTGGGGAATTTCTTTGGCCGTCTTGGGCTCTTGAGGCACTCTCTGTAGCCTCCCGGTGCCGTCTTCGAGCACTCTTGGGCCCTCCCAGCCGTGCGGTGGCGTCCCAATGGGAACTTCGGGAACCCTTAGAGCGGCCAAGCACTATAGCCCTCCTCCCTGGGAGCTTTCTGTCGGGGCCACTGGGCTCCCGTGGTAAAATGGAGACAGGATTGGAGACGACAGGTGGCAGAAAAAGAGAAGACAGCAGCACAGAGGGCACAATAAAGCAGCCCTGTGGGAATCTTCGCAGCCTTGCCCCCCAAGGGAGTCGGCGGGCCCTCGCTCTCAGTCGCACTGGCTCGGGCCACCCAGGTAGTCACGCTGGCTGTCAGCCGCGCTGGCTCGAACCGCTCGGCTCGTCCGCAGCCGCGTTGGCCCCTCCTCCGGCCTCCTCGCCTTCCTCCTGGTCGCCGCGGTGCTCGCCTCCTCCCGCCCCCATTCGCCGACGCCGTCGCCGCCGTCATCGCCGCCGCCGTCGCCGCCCAGGAAGCCCAGGAAGCGCTCCCAAGGAGCTGCGCAAAGGCTTGCCGCACACGCAACTATTCGGAAGGAGCTGGAAAAGTCTTCCAGAACACGCCTTGGCATCGCTCAGACATGTGGATTTGTTCTCGGCAAGGACCATCGAATAGCGTCCTGGATCATGGAGCAACAAAAAACATGCACGACACCGAAACATGCACGGGAAATGGGCGTCCGAGCGACGGCGAGACGCTGCAATCTCGAGCAGGGCGCCGTGGCCGTCGCTGTCGCTGCCATCGTCACCGCAGTGCCTCCTGCCTCTCCCCCCCGCTGCTTCGAGAGGCAAGAGTGACCTTGGGTGAGCGGCTTCAGGGGGCCGAAGGGGCGTCAAATCCGCCCAAGGGGGCATCCTGCGCAAGAGTGGCCTTGGGCGAGCGGCTTCAGGGGGCCGCGTGGGCGTCAGATCCAAGTGCGCAGGCCGGCACCGGTCGGAGGTTGATAAACCTCCCACCCTGGCGGGACCCCTGTGGCCCGCATCAGAGGGCATTCGTCGCTGCCGCCGTCGCTGCCGCCGTCGACGTGGTCCCCCCCCCCGCGGCGCCGCTCCGCCCGCCCGCCCCCCCCTTCCCTGGCGCCGAGGACTGCTCGGCGTGCTCGGCCGCCTGCGCGCAGAAACGGGGCGCTGGGAGGTGCACCTGCCACGAGGTGGGCCGCGGGGGCACTAGTTACAGTCGGACCGAGTTGCAAGATTCGTTTTTTGGCGATCAACAAGAAAACTTGGCGATAACAGCTGTGATCGGCCCCCTCGCTTCTCCCCCTCACCAGATCACGTCGCGCCATTGTGCCCACATCTGCAAAGATGTCCGATGGATTCTTCGAGGGTGTCTTGAGATCTCCAGCGGCACCCTGCCGTGATGTGATCGGGGTGGACACACTCCCCCCTCTCCCCCGATCAAACCCGTTATCGCGAATAAGCAGCAAGCTCTAAGATCGAGGTCGGTTCGGGGATGGTGCCCTCATGTTGTTCGTGATTGTTCGGTGTTCTTCTGCATCCTAGGGGAGAGTACCCTCGGATATTCTGTGCGTTTTGGCCGGCGGAGGGTCTCGTGTTCTTGAGGGATGCTGTTATGTCCCAGGTCCGGCTGTATATCTGGAAGAGAAGTCCCGGGGAGGCATGTCCCCCTGAAAGACCTGCTCCTCCTCCTCCTTCTCCTACGTGGGGGACCTCATCCCATACTTCCGTCTCAAGGCCGCGTACACGCCCAAGGATCAGCCGAAGAAGTACAAGCTACAGATTAGGTACAACGCCCTCGCAGCCAGCCCGTTCATGGACGAAGCAATCATCGCCGCAGTCAACCGCGCCAGGGAGCAGCACAGCGAAGGGCCCAAGGAGCCGCTCAAACTACCGCCGATCACAGTGCAGCAGTTTCGTCAGGCAGTGCATCAGGCCATCACTCACACGGGTGGCACGACCATCCTGGGGTCAGCACCGCCGAGCACACTCGAGCGCGCACTTCAGAGCCAGCTCCGCGCGCGCCAGATGTGAGATACGCAGATGTGGACGTGGCTGGCTTACGGGAGCGAGCCAAGGCAGGCAGTCAACGAGCAAACTATATGTTGAAACGAATGGGTTTGCAATATGAACGGATCCGAATTTGTATCAATTCAATGTCTTTGATTCGATGGACTATTATCTAGTATTATCCGGTATCGCCAGTCGCTTCGGCCTCTGTGAAGGCGGTGGGGTGATGCGCCCTGCGCATAGCCCCACCTACACCAACCACCCACCAAGATAGTATTGTTACCAGTGGATACGCGTGTACATACCAACCTGGCTTTCGCCATAACTTGCCTCAGAGCGCACCGTACCATCGCTCACCTCTGGCACGTCCGAGATCCACGGGACCATTCCTGCCTTGAGCCGCCAGATTGCTGGACTTCTTGGAGTGAGTGTGCAGCCTCGGGCTCTGAGGCGCGGCAGCCGCGCTGCCTTTGAGGTTTCGATTGCCGTCAGTGTTTTGCTTCAGCCTACGCTTATGCGTTCGGGGTGGAATTTAGCTTTGTCCGTCAGGATCGAGCTGTACCACCCGCCCCGTCCAGGACGGTCTCATCCCCGCCCAGCCTGGACTTCTTCGGCTCGGATTCCTGCTCTCTGGGACATGTGAGCGCGGCGACATTGCACGGTCATGTAGCGTAACGTTCATTGTCTCACACATGTACGTCGTACCTCGCACGGCACAGTGAGCACGCGATGCGCAGAATTATCTGCAGATTGTGCCCTGAGCGTCCACTAAGCATGTACCTACATGTTTGAACGCAGGTTGGGAGGGTTGAGCCCAGTGTATCGCCCTCTCGTTTTGCTCTAATTGGGAGGTCTGAGACGGTCTAGGGCCGACGAGGGGCCCAAGGCTTTACAGGCCCCCACTGGCTCCCTCAGGCGCCCTACCGCTCCGCCCACCGATCGTACCAGCAGCAATGCAGGACGCTGACAGGCGCCCAATCTTCCAAGGCCCACGCACCGCGCATCGAAGCCGAACTGCTGCCGAGGTCGATCGCTCGCTCGCTCCTCCTTCTCCTCCTCCTCCTCCTCCTCCTCCGCGTTCCGTGAAGGCCGTGGAGGCCAGCGCCCTGCAGAGTGGGAAATCCCAC